AAATACTTCAGCAAAGAAAAAAGGAAAAAAGTGACAGATAAAAGATTGTGGCAAAACTCTTGATAATTGTTGAATCTTAATGATGGGTATATGGAGCTTATTATACTATTTTCTCTATTTTTGAAAATTTCTTAGTAAAATTGTAAAGGACATAAAAGGAAATTGTGGATGCTGAAGACAAATTTTATCTACTTCACAATTTATTCTGTACTGTCTTGAGTAGAAAGCTATAGAAACTTCAAAGGAAGGAAAATGTCTTGTATTATGACCTATGGTTTATCGTGGAGGCCTTCATTAGGAATGGTGGCTCTTAACTGAATGGAATGAGAGTAGAGTGAGTATTTTAAATAGGAAAAATAATATTAGCAAAGACATAGTATGATGATGATCTGGTGCCTGTATCAAGGAGGGTAAAGAAATTGGCTTGATTAGGGCATGCAAGGGAATTGTGGGTGATGCATTATACAGGGAGAGTGGAACTAGTTAATGAAGTGTTTTGAACCCCGGTCTGAAGGAGTTTGGGCTTGAGTCCGTAGACAGTGTGAAGCCTTTATGTTCTTATAGAAAAGAGTGAAGGAAAGAGAACAGCATTTTCATAAAATTAATCTGACAGGTAAGTGGAATAGGAAAAGAGACTGGAGATAAGGGGACTAAGAAGGAGGTTATTGCAATAATCTAAAGCAGAAGGTCTAAGACTATCATAATTACAGTGGGAATGGATAGAAAGGGATAATTGAAGAGACCATGTCAAGGAAGAATCCCTGTGGTGATTGGTTGGACATGAGGTAGAAAAGAAAGGGTCAAAATAACCCTTAGAGTTTTGAGCCTGGAGAACTAAGAGAATGAAATGGTAGTGGTGCTCTTTACAGAAATAGGGAAGTTGCAAGTCTGAGCAGAAAATGCATTTGTGTGCGTGTTGTGGGAAAGGTGTGGAGGGCAGGACCGATCAGTTGGTGTCATCTTACAAACTGAATGCTACACTTTGAGGTGATAGAGGGATTGGGGGTAGAAGTCTTGCAAGCCACTAGGAATCTGAGATTGGCACTGCTCAGAGCAAGGTCAAGACAGGAGGGGTGGAGATGTATCTTTGGAATCTAATGACAACAGTATTATATGCTGGTGGTATGGGATGAGAATGGAATTCTCCAAGTGTAATCCAGAATTTCAAGTTATGTCACTGAATGGGAAACACAATTCAGGTGCAGTTATGGTCACCAACTGAAAAGGCTTTCTTTTTTTTTTCTTCTTTCTTTTCAAAATTCTTTATTGAAGGATAACATGCATATATAAATTTTTGCCTATATAGATGTACAATTTGATGAATTTTTGCAAACAAACTAGTATAACCAGCATGCCGATCAAGAGACAGAACATTGGCACTATCTGAGAGGTCTCCCTCTCGTACCCCTACCCAGCCACTGTCTGCTCTCAGAGATAATCCTGGCTGTCTTGTAGCACAATAATTCATTTTGCCTCCTTTTGAACTTTATATAAATGGAATATACGCTTTTATATGTGTCTTCTTTCATTCAGTATTATGTTTGTGAAATTTACTCATACTGTTGAATGCAATTGTAAATTGTTCTCATTGCTGTATGGTATCCTATTGTATGACTATACCATAATTTATTTATCCATTTCCCAATGTTAATGAATATTTGTATTGTTTCCAGTTTTTGGCTGTTACAAATGGCATTGTTATAAGCATTCTTGTCCAAGTATTTGGGTGGATATATTTATAAATGTCTGCTATATATATTTCTGCTACTATATGCCTAGGACTGGAATTGTGGGCTAATAGGGCATGTATATGTTTAGTAGAAAAGTGCAGATTTTTCCAGAGGGTTGTAGTTATGTACACTCCCACTGGCAGTGTAGGAGAGTTCTGTTATTCCTCATCCTCCTTCAGTGTAGCCATTCAGGAGAGTTTATAATAATACGTATCACACTGCAACTGTAATTTGTTAACTCATGAAGTTGACACCTTTTCATATGTTTGTGGTCCATTTGGATGTCCTTGCTGGTGAAATACCTGTTCAAATCTTTTTCATATTTTCTCGTGGGTTGCCTGTCTTTATCTTGGGGATGGGTAGGAGTACATTATATATTATGAATGAGAGTCCTTTGTTGGATTGAATATTGAAAAAAAAATCTTTGCCCACTCTGTAGCTTGCCTTTTCACTCTTTTAATGGTATCATTTGATGAACAGTTCTTAATTTTACTGTAGTTCAGTTTATCACCTTTTCCTTATTGTTAGCATTTTTTGAGTTACATTTAAGAAATCTTTGCCTACCCACAAGGTCATGAACATATTCTCCTAAAGGATTTATTTCTTCTAAAGAATTTATTGTTTAACCTTTTGCATTTAGTTCCACAATACGTATGAGAATTAATGTTTTTGTGTGTGTTTTGTATGAGTTTGGGGTCAAGAGTTTTTTTCCTCATGTGGATATCCAGTTGACTCAGCACTATTAGGAGACCATCTTTCCCTCACTGGACTGCAGTGACACCTTTGTCGTAAATGGAGGCACCATATATATATGGGAAGCTTTCTCTCTTTCTAGCTCATGCATATTTCAACTTTATTATTTTCTAAATTACTGTAATCTTTTTTTAACCCAAGTATTAACTCATATGGGTGATCAACCCTGTGTTTCAAACATTTACTCATTTGTTTCTTCTTTTTGGAAACTCATATTGATTGCCTACTAAGGTGCATATATTGGGCCAGGCATAATCTGAGGTATTAATAGGTGTTTCTTTGGCTAAGATTTAATTGGCTATAATGCATTCTAATAAGTCCCAAGGGGGCCGGCCCCGTGGCCGAGTGGTTAAGTTCGCGCGCTCCGCTCCGGCGGCCCAGGGTTCGGATCCTGGGCACGGACATGGCACTGCTCGTCAGGCCACGTTGAGGCGGCGTCCCATATGCCATAACTAGAAGGACCTGCAACTAAGATATACAACTATGTACCAGGGGGGATTTGGGGAGATAAAGCAGAAAAAAAAAAAAAAGTCCCAAGAAAGAATCATGGCATGATCCTGTGCAGAGATATACATTACCTATAACCTCCAGCTCTGTGCCGGGTGATGTGTAGAGGATGTAGGAAGGCTTCCTGGAACAGGCGATACTTGGGACTGTCTTGAAAAATAAATAAGAGTAGTAGGTACAAATGGGGAAGAGAGTGCACATGCAAACACAAGGACAACTGAGTGAGTTTCAGAAACTGGAAGTGGTTTGTTATGGTTTGTTACATAAAGTGTAAGGAAAGGGGATTGGGGAGTGATGAGCCTGGAGGATTGTGTAGAGAATTGATTTTGAAAGGACTTTGTTCCAAACTCACTGAGAGCCATTACAGGAAAGAGGATTAATGAACTTTGCATTTCAGAAAGATCCTTCTGGGCCAACCCAGTGGTGCAGCGGTCAAGTTTGCACATTCTGCTTTGGGCAGCCCCGGGGTTTACAAGTTCGGATCATGGGTTTGGACTTATGCACCACTTGTCAAGCCATGCTGTGGCAGGTGTCCCACATATAAAGTAGAGAAACATATAAATTAGAGTAAAAATGAACATGGATGTTGGCTCAGGGCTAATCTTCCTCAGCAAAAAGAGGAGGATTGGCAGCAGATGTTAGCTCAGGGCTAATCTTCCTCAAAAAAAAAAAAAGAAAAAGAAAAAGAAAGCAAGAAAGATCGTTCTGACTACTATGTGCAGAGAGAATAGATAGAACAGAGTTGGGGATGTGGGGAACATAGGCAAGGAGACTGGTTAGAAGATTGCTGGTTAGTGGATGATAAAACTGACTTAAGGAAGGACTGTCCTTTGTCAAGATAGAGTGCTGAGTAATATCAAATACTGCACAGGGGTTGTTAATAAGGACAAAAGAATGTTCATTGGATTTAGCAACAAAGAAGTAAGTATACAGCAAGGGCTTGGCACGGAAGACATAAAACATGTTTCCTGGCCCAGAGGAGTTCAAGACCCAAGAATGGAAACTGTTATTACAATACTTTGTGTTGAGTGCCGTGAGAGAGAGGTCAGTGCAGGAGCTGCCGGACACACAGAATTGGGTCAATTTCACAACTTCATTCCACCGTGGTGTTCACTGTCTTATGCCACATCACTGCCTCTGCATCCTTTGTGAAATGACTGTACCTATCTACCTTACGCTGCCTTCCTCATGCAGGTTTGAGTGTGAAAGGATAAATTCAAGCAAGTAGGTTTCCCTTAAATTCTCTAACAAAAACACACTTCAAACTCCAAAGTTAAACAAGGAGATGGACATGATGATGCTGACATGCTGAATTTATACTTAGTTTCATTTTAGGGCTCAGTACTGATCAATACATTGAGTGAATTGCCTCTCACTCTGTATGCCCTTTAAAGACCATCTGCTGCATTCACCTCGGCCAACTTCCAGCGTTAACACTGAGGTAAGAATATGATCCCACAACTAAATTTGGAATTTTATTTAAAGTTTAACGTAACCTTTCTCAAACTCTGGTCAACACAATGCAATATTAGTAAATAATAGTTTTTTCTGGATACTGATGGTAAGAATTATCTGTGGTGATCCTGCTAACTGAGGTTTCATCTATTTTTGGAAGGACTTTTATATGTATAGCAGAGATAAATATTAATGAATTTCTATTCCAGAAGTAAGACCTAAAATAACAGAATAAATTCCTGTACTCTGTAATATTAAAAATACATCCCAGGTATTGTAAGACAATGCTTTGAGGTCACTGGTTGATGTTCAGTCATTTACTGAACTACTCTTTTTAACAAAATATATATGCTCTGAGATACACATTTTATTTTATTTTATTTTATTTTACTTTTTGAGGAGGATTAGCCCTGAGCTAACTACGGCCAGTCCTCCCCTTTTTGCTGAGGAAGACTGGCCGTGAGCTAACATCTGTGCCCATCTTCCTCTACTTTATACATGGGACGCCTGCCACAGCATGGCTTTTGCCAAGCGGTGCAATGTCCGCACCTGGAATGCGAACCAGCGAACCCCGGGCTGCCGAGAAGCGGAACGTGCGAACTTAACCACTGCACCACCTGGCCGGCCCCCTGAGATAGACATTTTAATCTGTAATTTTGCTCTGGGTCACTGGGGAGATGGTTTCCTGAAGCCTACTGATGAAATCTGACGTTTGGAGAAAGGGAACAAATCTTGAAAAGGCTTGAAGGCATCCTGAGAAGAGAAGAAAGAAAACGAAGTGAGAAGACAGTAGATAATCTCAGTTTTCCATGAAACCCAATTTATAATTTGGTTGCATTTCATTAACCCAAATTACACACACTCACAAGAATGCACACTGAGCGGCCTCTGTCCCGCCCCTCCTTCCCCTCACAGCAGATGGAAATTAGGTGGCAGACTGGGAAGGTTGCCATGGTACTCTGACTGCAAGGATTTAACAGTAATCAAAAGAAGCTCCAAAGTCCCCTCCCCCAGCCATTCAAATGTGTGTTTCCCATTTTTCTCTCAAATCTTTGTCTTAATTAATTCCATGTTATAGATAAACCAGGGTGAGATTGACCTACTAGTGAACCAAAAAAAATTTACTGCCTCCAAAAGGGTTTATAGATGCATTGATATTGTTAGAAGTAAACTACTGAGGAATTATAGCTGGTCCATTTTTATGTAGAGCTAGCTACATAAAAAGTCAGAATTCGTTTTTAATATGCAACATGCCCTCATCTTCGAGAATCATATTTCTTACTGGTTTTATCCCTCTGGATGACCTGCAGGCTTCTCAAATTCAATATATTTAAATGGAGTTATTTATTTTTCTCCATTACCTTCCTCAGATTTCTATGTTCTCAATTATTCTACATTCTCAATACCTGTTCATTGGCAACATCTTTCTAGTATACCAACCTAGATTAAAGTAATAACCTCATATAATACCATGTGCCAGGCACTATTCTTATCACTTTGTGTATATTAACTTATTTAAGTTAATGCCAACTGATTATGAAATCTTGTCAATTATATTTCAAAATTATCTTAATAAATATTTGCAGAGTGAACAAATGACTAATCTTCTAAAGCTTGACCAATTTTATTAGGCAAAGGGCCTAGTTCAGGAGAGGATGTGGCAGAATATATAGAACTTGGTCTTTGAAGCTTCCTCTTTGAACGTTACATGTATAAATCCAAGAGCCAAAATAGTAGAAGATAAGCCTTTGTAACATATTGGGATCATTCTCCTCACCAGTGTTTCCTAAGGCTGCTGAAGTAATTAGGGTGCTGGTTAAAAATACTGATTCCCAGGGCCTGGCCCCATAGCATAATGGTTAAGTTCATGTCTCCGCTTTGGCAGCCCAGGGTTTGCAGCCGAGATGCTGGGTACGGACCTACACACCTATTGTCAAGCCATGCTGTGGTGGCGTCCCACATACAAAATAGAGGAAGATGGGTACAGATGTTAGCTTAGGGCAATCTTCCTCACACACACAAAAAAGTACTGATTCCCGGTTTCTGCACCAGAGAGTCTGATTAAGTAGATCTAGTTCAGTAAATAGTATTCTCTTAGAATTAATAATTTACCGTTTTGGAACTACAGAGTTTTGATGCTTTTGGGTGGTGTGGTTCAGTTATTTCCAAATTCTGATAACCCCTGGATAAGTTGATAGAGAATTACTCCCCAGACGGTTGTAATCCTGAAAGACGCAATTCCCAATGGTGCTCAGCCTAAAAGGGTGTTTTTGGAAACATGTCTCCATCTTTCTTTAGATTTAAAAGTCAATTACACATGTGCAGAAGAGAAGGAAGCCTTTGTTTTTCTTCATCTGCCCATTAAAAGATCATTTAGGAAACACTTCTCCATTCCCCATAAAGATTGATTATGCTTGTGTTGAAGAGAAAGGATTAGAAAAGGCTGTGGGGTTTTTTCTTCATCTGTTTATAAGAACAGCAATCTGTTATTCTAATATACAGATTATAAGAGATACAGAGGTTTATTCAAGATAGCATGGCCTGAAATTAAGTCCCCTCAATGTTAAGATTGTCTCTGAATTTAGCATATTTTAATAAGCCCACTATTAATATTTTTTAATGATTTCGATAGTTTTAGATATGTAAGAGTGACTTCACTCTCCTCTCGTTACTAAGCAACGTATCTTACAGTTGCTAGGAAACAGACTAGCCAGCTTGGGGGTACTTCAGTTTCCTCTACCACCTTGCAGACACATGACTATACCCTAGAGAGTTTCAAAGGCTTAGAGAAAAGAGAAAAAAGTTAATGCCATATCCAAAGGATAGAAAAAGAGATGAGTGGAGGAATAGAATAAGGAAAATAGGAAGGTATTTGAGAAGAAGAGTACATGAGGTTGGCAGAGCAAGGCTATTACGCAATTTCCTTGAATGAGTCATGGAAAAACCTTAAATTTCCAGTGCTCTATCTCATATTCTGTATGCTTCTACCTTCTCTAAAAACAAATTAGGGAATAAACTTGGAGAAAAAGATCTTTCAGCTAGTATTCCTAAATATTTTCAGAAGGGTAGAAATCAATTGTAACTCCTACAGAAGACTGGCGGTTACAAACACATTAAAGTCATACATTATTTCAAATTCTAAAGTCAGATATACACTATCTCCTTCCATTTCTCCTGAAAATAGTAAAAAGGGACAGTACTAAGAGGGAGGTTAGAATATAAGTGTTCTTGGACAAATTTAGAAGCAAGATGGTCATACAGGCTCCTGGGCAATATGTGTTTCTGTACAAAATTTTAAAAATCTAATATAAAGGGGGAAAGAAGGAACTGTTGTGCTGTACCTGGAGGACTCTGTTGTATCTGAAATAGGAAACCAGGCTCTAGGTTTCATTGTCCATGTGTGAAAGCTTGTGTCCTTGTGTCTCTGTGGTATTTACTGTTGCTGGCAACCAGGAAGCTCCGTAGTGATTGTTGCTAGGTCCTCAGTGCCTCTGTTTGCCTGAAACCGTAATCAGTGCCAGAAACACCAGAGATAAAAATCTTTGCACAAAATCCAGCGCCTGTTATCCCCGACAGTCCTACTGCAAACAGTCCATCTTGTGTCCAGTGAAAATCAGTATAAAATGGAGACTTCTCACAAAGAGTTCATCCTCAGCTTCCTCTTCATGGATGCTACTTCTGTCAGTGCAGAGCACTAAGAGAACCCTGGGGAATGGTTTAATTAAAATAAGGTTTATATTCTGGTGTCACCAGCTTTAACTAAGTGCTTAATAAAGAGTCTGAGACCAGGAACACAGAGAAGAAAGACTGCGTCAGATTTAGATGACTTCCTGTTCTGAGGCAGGAGGGTCCCGTCCGTGTTTGCTGGCAGCCTGAGATCACCTTACTGACCACAGAAGCCATGGTACAAATGATGGCACGACTTCAAATAGAAGTCTAGAAGATTCTGATAAAGACCCATTTCAGCATCATCCCCCAAAATAACTGACATCATCTCTTGAAATTAAACATCGGCTCTTGGATGAACCTTACAAATCAACACAACCCACTGACTCAAGCCATCTTGTCTAACTGCAGACTTCAAATTTTGTTTCCTGTATATCTCCTACCTAGACACAGACAGTTATGGCTCTGCACTTACCTGGAAACAGTTGTAAATCTGGGGTGAGATTTAGAAAAGATTCATGCCGAGATGACATACAGGTCTATTGAACATCAGGCATCCAGCTTCCTAAAGTGGGTCTGAAGAGATATTTATTGTTGTCATTATTACTAATTTTTGAGCACATAATCAAGGCTAAGTACTTCATATGTATTATCTAATTTATCCTCAAAATAATTCTAGGAGAGGGGCTGGCCCCGTGGCGGAGTGGTTAAGTTCGTGCGCTCCACTGCAGGCGGCCCAGTGTTTCACTGGTTCGAATCCTGGGCACGGACATGGCACTGCTCATCAAGCCATGCTGAGGCAGCATCCCACATGCCACAACTAGAAGGACTCACAACGAAGAATATACAACTATGTACCGGGGGGCTTTGGGGAGAAAAAGGAAAAAAATAAAATCTTTAAAAAAAAAATAATAATTCTAGGAGATAGATACAATTATATTCATTTTTTTCCTCAGTTGAGGAAACTGAGGTTCAGAGAAGTTAAATAATATGCCTAAGGTCTCTCGAAGCTAATATGTGGCAAAATGAAAATTCAAACCTAGACCTATCCAGCTCCAGCATTTGACTCTGAACCACTATTCTATGTATTCTGTTTAATAGAGAAAGCTTTTTATATGGGGATAAATTGTGTAGTACATCACTGTGTCAAGGTGAAGAGTGTAGACTCTGGAGTCCCTCTGTCCCCTAATAGGGTAGTTGAGACTCATAATGTCTGCTCCCTCTGGGTTTACCATAAAGGCCCTACCAGGACAATCCTCCAGAACCCTGAAATTCCCTATCCTTGCATTTCCTGAAATCTAAGTTATTCAATATGTAATAACACCCAGTAGAGTCTTTAGATGGATGGTTCAGACTGGGTTCTGCAACCCCAATTCAGTCAACCTGGTAGTTCTTTTTCAATGTGAGGCAAAGACTTGCCCTTAGAGCCTTTCTGCATTCATCTGGTCTCCTCTTCTCATTTCCTTATCTAATAAGAACAGGAGATCATTTTTAAGGACTGTGTGGTCTGAATGCTAATTTAGAAAGGAATGCTTTTTTAAAAGAACAATCTGGAGAGCTGTAACATTTTACATTATCCAGAGGTTGGTTCAGTGTCTTGGAGCCACACTATCTCAAAATCTTCATTCCAGAATAAAATCTTTCCTTTCCCTTTGTATAACCAAAAAGTCCACTGTATTGGTATTTTCAGAACAAAGAATTAT